TCGGCCAACTACTTGGAAGATTTTTCTAAAGCAATGACTGACTTAGTACTTAGGAAAATTTTCAAAATAAAAAAAATCCTAAGTATTCTTGCAACAAGGCAAGCAAACACCCACACGGGGACGTCATACAAACACGGAAAGAAGAGAATACAAAAATCACGTGAAAGACGAAGCATTTTTTCATTCATGGATTGTGAAAGTACAAAAGGGGGCTTCTGGGCCGTTACATAGTTAAAAGTCAGAAAACAAAATACACGGAATCATGGCTCCGGAAGGGCTTCAGAGTCCTTCTCAGCATCAGCTCCCTCTTCGGCCAGAGCAGCAGACGTGTCGGCAGCAACACCCGACGTCGCGGTATCCTCGAACATACTCCGCTCATACGCCCAGTCATCGCTGATGCGGGAGCTCTCAATGGGGAGTTGCCGTTCAGCCACTGGAAGCTCCAACTCTGCTTCAGGATGCCTCATTAATGAAGGCAGCTCAAGGCCAACGGCCCATTCTTTGGTCACACCCATATCGAGGAAACGCCGTTGAAGCCTCCTATACAACAGTCGTTGCATCCGGTATTGGCCAAGGTCGTAGAAGATTTTCATCTCCTTCTCCCAGTACGCCTGGCCGTCGGGGGACTGGGTCACCCAGTCGACGAGTCTGGCCGCCAAGACCTCAAAGCAAAAGGGAAGTCGGCCCTCGTCCTTCCAGCCGACTTCAAGGAACTTCTGCACAGCGGCATCACCGGCCTTTTCCTCGGCGGCGCTAAGAGCCAGCTCTGCACTGGCCTTGCCCTTCTCGGCCTCCTCCGCGCGCCGGAGGGCCTCGTCGCGAGCACGCTCCGCGTCGGCCAGACGCTGGAGGGCCCCTTCCTTCTCAGCGGCCAGCTGGTCGGCCTCGTCAGCCCTCTTCTTCAGGCTCTCAACCTCAAGACGCAGCCTCTCCAAGCTGCCTAGCGCCTCATCGGCCGAGGCCACCTTTTGCTCGAACTGCCTCAGGCGAGCAATCTCCCTTTCTTGCCTCCTGTTGTTCTCCATCAACATGAAGGCACCCTGAAGCAACAAAGGGGTTAGACGACATTGCAAAAAAAATGGGGAGAGGAGATTAGGACGAAGCGGGCATGATTACTTACTTGGACGATGTGGTCCATCCCACCATCGTACATCTTCACATGGCCGAGCTTCTTCAGATAAGCCCGGTCTTCGTCAGGGATAGCTTGAGAAATCACCTCATGACCAACAACAATCTCGTTGAACAGCCCCCCTTTGACAGGGTACTCCACCTCGAGTTTGTAGGTCCTTCTGACCAGCTCTCGGCCGGACCCTTTCTTTCGGGCAGCCGTTACGACAGCAGGAACAGTGGAGAGAGTGGTGGACGACGGGCCCGAAGGGTGGTCCACCAAAGCATCAGGGTTTGAACCCCCTCTGTCCCCAGAAGGAACAGTCGACGTCCCAGCATCACCGGCAGAGGAAGCCCTCTTTGACTTCTTGGGAGGCTTCAGTCCCACCTCGGTCAACTTTTTTTGGCCCTCATCGGCCTGCCGTTTCTTGTTTGGCTGTACTGGGGGCTTGGCTGCAGGGGAGGCACCAGGCTGTTGGGCTTTCAGCTCCTCGGTCGCTTTGAGTTGTGCCCGCTTCATAAATGACATGCGATCCATCACAAAACCTGCATCACAAAAAACACTAAGGGTTAGAAAAACGGAATACAAAAGTATGACAACAGGAAGTGCATCAGAAGGGACTTACCATCGGCCTCAGATGGCACCCCCAGATCGGGACCATCAGCCTCCTCATAAGATGTGGTCATCTTCGGCCACAACTCCACATCGTCGTCAAGATCACCATACACAAAATACCGTACAAAGCCAAGGGCGGCCATTTTGTACTCGGTAATATACGTCTTCACACTCCTCGGCCCTCCTTTCAGGAAAGCCTCAACCTGAGCATCCAAGATGGAGCCCCTCGGCGTATCATGAAGATTAAAACGGTCGGTATGGCCAACAGAGGGAAACTTTGTGCCCCCCTCGCCCAAAGACACGAACACAAACTTTCCCTTCCAGGCATGGATGGACGTCGGCAGGTCAGTAAAACTCCTCTTCTTGGGCAGTTGTTGGAGAGTGGCATATGACGCACAGTTCTGGTGACTCCCGCGTCCTATCTGGTAAAGATTCATGAACAGCGCCGTCGTCGGTCTGAAATCCAACTCAGCACACCGCAGAAGGAAGCCGACAATGAGCGAGTAACTATTCGGCGTCAACAAGGCCAGAGGGAGCCCCACCATATCTAGGTACTCGGTGATAAAGGGATGAAGCGGGAATCTAAGTCCTTTAGCAAAACTCATCGGGTACACTCCGAAGTAGCCCGGGGGTGGATTAAGGACATGGTCCGTCGGCCTGGGGGCCCTAACCCTGCCATACGGCCCCACATACATCTGGGCGACCAGGTATTCACCCGCGTTACTCTGCGGTTTGATAACATAGATGTTCGTCAAATCCAAGTAAGAGAAGGCTGGCCCTCTCTTCGGCCTCCTCACCCTCTTCGGCGGCGCGACGCCCTTCACAGCAGACACAGGCTTCGGGCAGGGAATGGCAGCCGACGTGGACGCCCCATCAGCAGTTCGGGAGACACCTGCGTCCCCATCTCCGGACGATGACGCGGACCCCTCGTCCGCACCGCCCTCCTCGGCCGGCTCACCGGTCCTGAACGAGCTCAGATCCTCAAGCTCCTCACAGAACTCCTCGACCACCTGATAATCAAGGGACTGGGCGGAGGGCTCGTCGTCGTAGGGATAATACTCTTCGTTGATGTTTTTCATCTTAAACACTATTTCGGGTATACTGCAGCCTACTTCAAGATCTAAGGGTGTTCAAGCGCCTACCACTAGATCACTAGCCTAGGAAGCAAAATATGCAAAGTACAGAGAAGATTTCGATGAACACTAACCTTGAACACGAAGAACACGAAGAACACAAGCTTGGGAGTTTATCTCTCTAGGAATTTGGCCAGCACTTCGACAACTCAGAATGCAAGTAAGAATCATCGTCGGATGGAGAGGGGTATTTATAGAACCCCCTACCCAACGGTCACTACACGTGGCACCCTCCCAGTGGCCGCATCAACGGCCACCAACGGGAGACCACCACGTCACCAATGGGCCAAGCCCAAACTACATATCAAGAGCCCGCTGGCAAATCAGGCTCTACGGTACGGAAAAGGGGAGAAAAACACCCAGAACGGCCAGGGGACTCTACGGCCAACAGCATACAACGGTACCCCACGGCACCCGTATCGGCCATCCAGATGGTCACACCATCCCAAAGGAGATGAACGTAACGTCCATGAGGCCCTCGCACTGGATCCTTGATGATAACCCTTTGAAAGCGACCTGCGTCCAAGGGTTCTCCCACAGGGTTACCTTGGTCAGGAAATCGCCAAAGGGTTGGATTCAAGGGCAGTATGAGGATCCCACTTCGGTCAGCGTTCCAATCTACTCCTTCACTCCTCACTCACTCTTCGGCCTGAAGCAGTGGGGGACTGGGGGACTACACCGGCCTCAAGAACAAAAGGCAAAATCAAAAGAAATCCAAAAATACACCAAGTCCACAACTACAACATCAGACATGCACCACAACGTCCATAACATCATGGTGCACCTTCGGCCACAGCAAAGCTTGAGAGCACAGAACACTTATCGGCCTTGAAACCACATCACTCAAGCCAGGAACCAAGAGAAAGGTCAACATACCCAAACTACTGTCGTCCATGTACCGCAACGGCCCCGAGGTCCTCACGACCTCCTCTTCGGCCAGACAGTGTTATCAACCCCAAAACCTTGGGCAATATGACGCCTGGTCGTCCAAACACACAAGACATCATCAACAACGGCCAAAAGGAATGCAGAGTGCCCTCATCGGCCTCACCAGCCCAAAAGGGAAACCTTACCTAGTCAGCAACCAAGGACAGATACTATCTTCATCGGCCACCTATGCCGGAACGCGCATCATCCAACAAACAAAGCGCACCAAGGGAACAAGGGCCCTCCACGGCCGCATCAGGGAACGGCCAACGGTCCCACATCGGCCAAGAAGCATCAGGCACGGAAATCTACTCTCCTGCGCTTCGTCTACATCTCAGCTTAGAGAGTGGGGGACTCCTGATGGAGTATATGGGTCCAGGCCCCAGGACCCACATACTCAGAAGAACAGAAAGCACAGCCACCCCGTGGTGCCCTCGTCGGCCAGAAGACTCTCGACGGCCAGAGAGGGACCAACTCAGAATATGGCCCTGAAGCCAGGGAACCAGGGGGCCTCGTCGGCCGCGCCCTCGTCGGCCGCGCCCTCGTCGGCCGCGCCCTCGTCGGCCACGGAAGTCTCACAGAACCGGACTTTACACTTATTCATTTGTATAGCCCATTAGTGGCTTTGTATTCGGCCCAATAGCGGTCCAGTTGTAAATGGGCCTCCCAAGCCCAAGCTTTGGGAGCCCAGCCCGTATTTTCTATATAAATACTTCCTCTGGAGGTAGTTATCAGGGTTACAAAATCATTCTATTGAAGCATATATTGCACTTCTCTCTCTAGCTCTCACTTCTCTCTAGACAATTACTCTATCAGTATTAATTATTAGTTTTATCCATTACGTGAAAATGTAAAAGTGATAAGTTGGAAGGGTCCTATTAGACTCATCATACATTATTAGTAGTGATAAAATCCTTACGTGATAAGAGGATTGTGATTTTTTTTTTTTGTTTTTGAACGTGATGTTATTTAATTTTCTGTTAGTCAATAGGAGAATGACAAATCAATCAGCTATTAAAAATGAGTTTCACTTCATAAAACTATAGATAATGTTACTCGAGTCGCTTGAAAAAACAGATCTATTGTCTTTGTTATGGTAAATAGCTTATTGTTTACGTAGTACGATAGTATATATTAAATGAGTCTAGTCTTATATAGAGAGTAATATTTGGTGACATTTGTATAGGTTCTAAAGATTGTGATTATTGTTCACTCAGTGATCATCAGGATATCTTTTGGAATTGGGGGCATATGTGGCCGGACGTTGACACGATTAAGCCCCTACCGGTGGCGTTGATTTCCCATCAACTCTTCGGAGGCATGGGACTCGGCGGGTGCATTGCCGAGGTATTGTTCACATCATATTAATATTTAGGATGTTTACATAGACTTAATATTAATATCGAAGACTTATTTTAGATGTAAACTATACATGATCTTTACGTGACTAGAAAGTTTTAGTTCAATTAAAAAATCTTAAACATGGAGAAATTACCCAAAATAAGACTATTTTATTTGGCAGTAATTAGTTCTATGAATAAAAAATGACAATCCTATTTTAGAATTTTTAAACGTTTGTACTCTTATATCGGGAATTTTAGAAAAGTTAATGCTCCCACCATATTTAAGAGATTATATCCGTAGAAACAATCTCTATTAAAGAAGTTACTCAATATATACTTATTATTATTATTACTATTACTATTATTACTATTATTATTACTATTATTACTATTACTATTGCTACTGCTACTACTACGTGGTATTACATTTGAGAGCTAATGCGAGAAAAAGGTTTTGGGGTTCAAAAGAACTATTTTTATGTAATAATTGCATATATATGTCCGAAATAAAGTTTTTATTAGAAAAAACGCGGCCCCTTAAACGTTAACTATAATTGTAATTTTAGTTATAGTAATTTAAGTATAATTTTTACACTTTAGCAACGATTACACTACACTTGTAATAGCGCTAGTCATATTTTTGTAAACCGTACCGTCACAATACGCAACACGTGCTACAATATTAATGGCAGTATTCTTTTTCTTTACAACTCCAATTGGAATAGCAATTGGGTTCATGATTTCACGTACCTACAATGAAAATAACCCAACGGCCCTAATTGTGGAGGGCTTGTTAAACTCGGCCCCAACTGAGATTCTGATTTACATGGCCCTTGTAGACCTCATTGGAGCAGATTTCATGAGTGATACGCTTCAACGCAATTTAAAGCTTCAAATTGGAGCTAATATCTCACTTCTAATAGGAGCAGGCTTAATGACACTCTTAGTCATTTGGGCATAATCATTAGTATACAATTAAGTGATAAGTGAAGAAGAATAATAGACATATTGTTAGCAAAGACTGCAAATGGAAAACTTCAGAGGCGCATGGTCACAAATGTAGCAAATCAGTTCAACACTTCAAGACAAACTGTACACACACGGTGGGGCAAAGCAAAGACACAAATGCAGGCTGGGCAACCCATAGATGTGTAGAGCAATTTGAAAGGTAATGTAGGACAAAAAAGAATTGCGTTTGACTTATCAAAAATGTCTGAAATTCCATATCATAAAAGGAAAAATATGAGGTATTTGGCATTTTCAATGCAAGTGTCAAAGTCAACTGTGCAGAGATGGTTCAAGAGCAAACAAATTAAAAGACATTCTAATGCCATTAAACCTCTTCTCACAGATAAGGGAATGCTCAAAAGGTTACAGTTCTGCCTAAGCCATATTATTCCTAGCTCACTTCCCTTTTCCCCAACTTTTCATGATTTTTATGATCATGTACACATACATGAGAAGTGGTTCTACTTATCAAAAGAAACCACAACATTTTATACCTTCCCAAAAGAAGAGGACACTTACAGAACAACTCAATAAAAAAACTCATACCAAAAGTGATGTTTATTGCTGCAGTAGGAAGGCCTAGAATAGGCAACCTGAGGGTGTATTATGGGATGGTAAAATAGGGATTTTCCTTTTACCTATGAAGACAAAGCAAAGAGAACAAGCAAGAATAGGCCAGCTGGGACCTTAGAGACAAAGGCAACATTGAGTGTCACTAGACCAGTTATAAAAGACGTGATGTTAACACAAATTCTGCCGGCAATTAAAGAGAAGTGGCCAGATGCAGAAAACAAACTTGTCATTATATAACAAGACAATGTTAGGCCTCATTTAGACATAAGTGATCCAGAGTTTGTCAAACGTGAGACAAAAGATGGATGGAACATTGAGTTGCGTTGTCAACCACCCAATAGCTCAGATTTGAATGTGTTGGATTTAGGTTTTTTAGGGTTATTGATTCTCTGAAAGATCAGAAAGCACCTAAGACTATCAATGAGTTGATAGAATCAGTACAAAGTGCATTCAATGATCTCACAGCTCACACCTTAAACAACGTATTCTTAAGCTTCCAATATGTAATGGAGGAAATTCATAAGCACAATGGGGGAAACAACTTCAAACTAAAACATGTTGGGAAGGACATATTGGAAAGGCAAGGTAAATTACCCAAGAATGTCCACATTGATGAGAAAGTGTATAACACAGCTAAAACACACATGGTTGTGTCAGGGACAGAGTTCATAGATGAAGATTATCAAGATCTTCATCTCAGAACTGTCTTTCTAAAAAAGATAGTACATGTATTTTGCTACTTTTGTATGTACACAGGGATGATTAAGCAACTAGGTGTACAATTTTTTGTATGTGCTTTAGACTGTTGAAAGTCCCTTTTTATGTACTTCCTTGATCATAGTTGTACACTAATTATTGTAAGCAAGTCAATGCCAAACATGATTTACAAAGTAGGCCTCCTACACATTCATAAGAGGATTGCACAAGTATTTAATCACATTTGAGGCACACACTGATGAAATGCACATTAACACTTTAGGCATAAACAATATCACAAAAAGCAATAGGCAGCACACGGTTTCAGACTCAATTAAACAACAAACATTGAGTCATCATTTTTCACAAGCAACATTTTGATAATTAGTACCTCCAACTCATCCTTAATTTTCACATCATACACACCTTAGGCAACAAACATGCAAGTACTCATACTTTATGTCAAAAAACAAGGATAGTAGAGAGACAGAGAGTACTGCTCGTAGAATCAACCCTTTGTATAAGAAGTGTCTACAAATACTTCGTTAGTGGAACAATCACCGAACCAAACGATGACTGGGTTTACCCAAGGCTGCAAAAGACATTGCATGTGGAAGATTAGTTTTTTTAAAGTAGTAGGAGTAAAATTAAGGGTAATTCATGGGAAACTTGCCTTTTTCCAGATCCAAAATTTAAACGGACTTCACACTTTTCGGATCTGAAAGATGTGGTTCAGATCGGGAGGTCGGAGTACTCAATCGGCGACTTCACATCCACTACATCTCCCAGTTAAAGACCGCCGGTGTGCGTAGAGGTGATTTTATCATCCATTAAACCGAAGACGAACACATATCAGAAGGGGGCAACTATGTAAGGAGAAGGGGTGCGGTGAAGAGGAGTATGGTGGAGAGGAGTATGTGGTGGGAGGATGAGAGAAGAAAGAAGGTCAGAGGACGGATACATACGACAGAAGAAAGTGGGGCGGTGGGGGTTTAATGCGGTAATTGGGTGGGGTGGTAATAGGAGTATTATGAGGGAGAGATATTTATGGCATTTCAACCAAAATTATGGATAGAATAAAAAGTGTGAAGTTTATTGTGGTACTGACAAAAAAGGAAAATGTAAAGATGATTAGGAAAGTGTAAAGATGATTGTGAATCCGAGAGAGTACATAATTGCACATAAACACTTAGACGGGTGCGTGACTTGTTGACTTGAGCGAGGGATATGATTGTTACATACGATGTTTATAATTGCACATACAATGTTTGTTTATCAAGTCATTTCTAAAATAAGGGCTTAGGAAGAGAGAAAAGGGAGGATGTCTACTATTTATAAATTAATCACACTTATTGAGAGACTTCCATGTTAACCGTCTTTTGTAATTTCGATGGTCACAAGCCTATAAGGATTAAAGTTCGTGATACTAGATGATAAAAGAAATATGAAAAATAACAAAATAATAATTTGTCTACATGATGTCTTCAATAATTTATAATGTATCGAATATTAGACTTATTATTTGTTAGTATTTACTTATTACAAACTCATTCATTCATGTAGCAAATAGTAATATGATTTAAAAATGTATATATATATATATATATATTAACGTCTCATATATTACATCACAAAAATGTTGCACATGTGAAATGCTAGTTATATCCAACGTCACAAAAAGAGTCTAACTAATTCTATCCAAAATACTCTTTTTGTAACAAAGAAGTAAATTTTTTCTCTCATAATTACAATTATTCCGACGGCATATGGAGAGAAGATTTTTGATATTCTTGTATATATACTAATGATTATGCCCAAATGGCTAAGAGTGACATTAAGCCTGCTCCCAGTAGAAGTGAGGTATTAGCTCCAATTTGAAGCTTTAAATTGCGTTGAAGCCTGTCACTCATGAAATCTGCTGCAATGAGGTCTACAAGGGCCATGTAAATCAGAATTCCAGCTGAGACCGAGTTTAACAACCCCTCCACAACTAGGGCCATTGGGCTGTTTTCGTTGTAGATACGTGAAATCCCAAAACCAATTGCTATTCCGATCGGAGTTGTAAGGCAGAAAAATATTGCCATTAATAGTGTAGGACGTGGTGCGTATTGTGCCTGCGCCATTCACACAAATATGACTAGTGTTATTGTGAATGTAGTGTAATTGAGGCTAAATTGTAAGAATCATACATAAATTACTAGGAATAAAATTACTATAGTAGTAACTACATTTAAGAGATCATGCTTTTTCTAAAACGACCTTTGTTTTAGATACAAATATGCAATCATTATTACTTAAAAATAGTTGTTTTGAACCTCAAAACCTTTTTCTCGCATTAGCTCTGAAAGGTAATAACAACAATAATAATACTATGTGGAGTGCATTTTTAATAGACATTGTTTCTAAAAAATATAATCTCTTAAATATGGTGGGAGCACACAAATACACTTTTCTTAAAACTCGTGACATCCTCCTCCGGGAGATTTAAAAAGGGACGGAGCAGTATGATGTATGTGAAAGATACCTCAGCAATGCACCCGCCAAGTCCCATGCCTTCAAAGAGTTGATGGAAAGTCAAAGCCACAACAAGGGGCTTGATCGTATCAACGGTGACAGATGCGCCCAAAGATATCCCAATAATTACCGAGTGAACAATAATCCCAATTTCCAGAACCTATAAAATAAGACTAGACTTATTTAATAAGTTCTCCGTCCCATTTTATTTAGACAAACTTAACTTTTCAAATCAATAACGTCTAACTTTGACCGATTATTTGTTTATAGAGAGAAAATATTAATAATATGAAAATGTTCTTTGTAAAAAATACTATCATAAAAGTATAAAATTATTAAATTTTGCATAAATATATTAATTTAGATAATTGGTCAAAGTTTACCACTTTTGATTAGAAAAATCAAAGATGACTAAGTAAATTAAGACGGAGGAAGTATACAATAACCTTTTTACCATAAAAAAACAATAAAACTTTTTTAAAGTGATTCCAGTAACATTATTGATGTTACTAATGCATATTTTAATAAAGTACGGGTCCACTTTCAATAATTTTATCATAAATTAAAGCATCGAAAGATTTTCATTCGTAAAAAATATACCAGTGAGATGACGCGCCGCCGTGTTAGATCAGACCCGCCGAAAGGCTCAACCGGGTAAACCACCGAACCGTGAGCATGCCCATGGGTCGCGTGCGTGTGAATGGGCACTTGCGCGTGAGGCTGGGCCAGGCTTTCTTCGTCAACGGGCTTGGGCTTGTTGTCCAATTGGGCTTTCTTGTAAAAGCTCGTTGCAAACAAGTCCACCATCATCGTTAATATGGCAGCGACCATCGCCACGAAGCCAGGGAAGGGGAAAATACTCCACGGCTTCTCCGGCAGGCAAGGACTGCCGAGGGTCTCGAAAGCATCGGGGAGCACGTGGATGAACCCCGTGGCTAAGATCACGCCGGCAGCAAATGCCTTTACGAGAAAGAAGAAGTTGCTGTCCGGGTGGAACATCGGGAATTTCTTCCCGATGTTCGGGAGAGAGACGCCGAGAAACCCGGCTAAAAGAACGGTAAAAGCCGCTATTAACTTAAACTTCAAGGCCTCGACACGGTCCCGTCCGTCGTAACCGGAGTCATCGCTGCAGTCTCCGGCTGCGGAGACCAGCATGACGGGAATCATAAAAGGAATGAAAAAGAACATGACTGAAAACTTCTTCATGATCGGAGATGAAACTTTAATTTGATTCTTCTTCAATTCTACAGGGTGGGCTAAAGCTAAGGCTTAAAAGGGTCAATTTATAGGCTGGATAGAAAGTTTGGAATTTATGACTTAGTGGGATCGGAGTAGTGTGGTAACATGGCGACATGCAAAGCCATGCAGTGCCTGAACCGAAGAAGGGAAGTGCCACGTGTGCAGTCTGGGACGAATAGTGTCGACATTATGATTGAGTTTAAAGTTCACTTGCAAATAGTCAAACTCCCTAAGTAGAGTCCTAATTAAATTCACCGCAATTCCAAATGACGACATTATTGTTTTTCTAAATAAGGTTTTTTTCTTTTCAAAAAAACATAAGGTTTTTTTTGTGAATTTAGGATAATTTTTTGTTGGATTGTTTTTGGTCAAACCAGATCAGACTTAAATAGACCAGATCAGATCAAATTTGACATCCCTAATTATAAAATATACAAAATTCAAACGTTCATCAGACCAAACCAGACTAGTTCAGACCAGATCAGACCAGTCCAGTAAATTAAGTTTGTACGTCTTTTATTCCGATTATGGATTGTTTTTTTAAAAGACGGGTTTCTTTAGTAAGATACTACCGGCCCGGAGTAGTAATTTTGTTAAATTTTGTGTTTTTTTAGATTTTTAGTTCAACTATGGCCTATTTGATTTTGAGAACGTAACACAACGTAAGGAGAAAAATGAATTCGGCGAGCTAAAATGTTTTTGTTCAGTTTTGGCTTATTTACACTTTTCAAAAGTTACATGTCATTATATCTAAATAATTCTTTTACTCCGATTTAAAAAGAAAAAAGAATCATTACAAAAATATGGGCTGTCTTTAGTTGAAAAATACGCAATTAGATATGTTAATGCGTTGTTCAGTTTGTGAATTTTTAAACCGTTTAGTTCAATTTGACAGATTTGAATTTGAATTTGAGAACAGCAAAGACAAAAATTGAATAGAGTTACCAAAGACGTGTTTGTTCAGTTTTGACTTATTTACTTTTAGCAAAAAAAAGGAAGTATCTATTATTCGTTCTTTTATTAGGATTAATTGAGTAAATACTACATTACTACTCCGTACTTATGCTCCGTTACTTAGGCTCTATAATTTCAAAAGGACAGTGAGTTAGATGGAGATGTATCTCATACAATCGGAACAGGGTGGATGAAGTGAAAGAATGCGTCAGGATTTCTATGCGATCGAGGTATGCCGACTAGACTGAAGGTTAAATTTTATAGGATAACAATTAGGCCTGCATTATTATATGGCGTATAGTGTTGGGCGGTGAAACAATGTCACATTCAAAAGATGAATGTGGCAGAGATGTGAATGCTGTGTTGGATGTGTGGGCATACTAGGAAGGATCACGTGAGGAATGAGACAATCAGATAGAGGGTGGAGTAGCACCTATTGAAGACAAGATGCGGGAGCCGCGCCTACGATGGTTTGGTGATACCGTAGAAGACCGAGTGATGCATCTGTTAGACGAGTTGAGATGTGTGGAGAAGAGGCAGGGAAGAGAGTGAGAGGAAGGCCCAAACAGACGTGGGTTAGGGGAGTCCGAAGTGATATGCTTTTTCTTAGGTTGGATGAAGGTATGACTTTAGAGAGAACAAAGTGGAGGGCGGGTATTCGTGTGGAGGAGTGATCTCGTATCATCTTTTCCCCTCATCTTTTTTTCCCTTGTTTTTTTATCCTTATACATATAAACATTATTTGTATCCTTTTTATTTTATCATTTTTATGTATATTCATCTTTTTTTATATTATCTTTTTATAATAGCTTATCTTTTTTATCTTAATTTTTTTTATTTTCCTTTTGGTGGTGATATCATGTATCGATTCATGTTAGCCAACCACAATATCTTTTGGGACTAAGGTTTGGATGTTATTGTTGTTGTTGTATCAGGGTATTGTTTGATTCAAATTTGAGGATTTCTCAATTGCATTTTTTAAAAACTTGAATTGAGAAAACTATGAGGTTTTATGTTTTGATTCCGGATTTCCTCCGATCAAGTCATGCGGTCTTGGAAACCTCAATCAATTTAGAAAATAGAAATTGCCCTAAATAGGAGTGAAAACGTTTTGAAATTCCAAAATAAGAGTATCATGTTTTTTATTCCCTCAATCACGTTTTTAATCTGTCATGTTTGGAAAAAAATGTCATGTTTAAAGCTCAGTAATGCCAAACTTGACAGGAATTTACTCATATTCAGGGAATAAAAAACATGATACTTCTATTTTGGAATTTCAAAACTTTTTTATTCCTATTTAGGAAATTCTCTCTTTAGAAAACATACATTTTAATCCATAAATTGAAATCAGGTAGCTTTTTAAATATTTTTTACATAAATTTTTCATTCAAAGTTCATATAATTATCGGTTTAAAGATAAAAGTTAGTACTTACTAATATTATTCGAATCAACAGTAGGCGAGTCTCTTAACCCAATCAACAGATAGTTTAATTTGATATTGCACCAAGAAGTTGCTTCCATATTGAAGCCTCCGTCATATACTTTTTCTTAAATTAGAGTTTGAACCATATTTCTAAAAATCCTCAAAACCTCTAATTTGTCGTCTTTCCACACGTATATAAATGTAGCTAGCAATGATTTGGAAAGTGAAATGTAATTCTTAGTAGAAATGATGTGCCAATCTAAACTTCTGTATAAATAAATAGAGAATTGATTCTTGCAATGATCAGCCACCCTTTGATTAGTCTTTATTATACTACGTGGTACTCCCTTCGTCCCATATTTAACTCCGGTTTTGACCGAGCACGAGTTTTAAGATAGTGAGATTTGTGTGGTGGAGAGTTATGCAGAGGAGAGAGAAATGTGTAAGAATGGTTGTGAACCACATATTCTTTACCAAAAAGGGAAAAAGGAGATAAATTTGGGACGGACCGAAAAGGAAAGAATGAAGATAATTCCGGGACGGAGGGAGTATAATTTAACGCACGAAATAAACAACTTTACATATTTTGATTACTCCGTATTATATGATTCAACGTACGAAATTAAATGTTACATAGGGGTGTTTTGGATCTGATTCCTAAAACTGTTTCTGCTCCTCAGAAAGCAAAAACAGAAGTTCGAGTGTTTGGGTGAAAGTGTAGAAATACTTCTGGTGCTCTAATTTACTCCTAGAAGCAGTTTTTTAAAAAGTTAAGGGATACCAGCTTGAAACTGATTTCGATTCTGCTTTTAATTTTACAAAAATAAAAGCAGAACCAATTCCAAACACCCAAGTTGCATTATAAGTCCAAAATATGTGCTATCAGATTGGTAGCGAGGGAGTGCCACAAGGGTTAGGTCTCGGATTCGAATCCCGTCAACTACGATGAGGGGTTACTATGCCAAAATGCATAGAGGCCTCTGCAAGTATCAGGGATAGAGCCACACTCTCTATCTGTCAAATTGAGATTATAATCCAATTTATATCTTCCCAACGTACCTCAGGGATGGGGTGTCATCCTCTCTCTTTTTTTTTTTTTTTTTTTTTTTTTTGCTTTCATGAATCCTGGCCACTGCTATTTATGTGAGGACGGGACCAACAAGCTATTTACAAATGTACAATCACAGTATTTGACTCTTTGACCTGAAACAACTTAGAAGACAACCTGGGCCTTGCACAAAGAACAAAATTGAAGGCCAAGAGAAATTGTCCGTATTCGCGCTCTTTACGTACGTATCCTTTTGGATCAATTGCATTGGGAAGAATATACTTTTATAATGGGGTTACTATAAAAAGTAAAGAGCACTGTTTTTTAATACGAATATTTGACAAGAATAATCTCAACAATCCGCTTAAAATAATCCAAAATATCAATTATCTCAAAATAATTTCACCTATTGAAAAGTCTTTTCATAAATATTACGGAGTATAAGTTGTTTACGGATAATTATAAGTCACCGGAGTATTTTGAGAAAATTTCAATAGTTAAGATTAGATTGAGATAATTGAGACTTTGAATTATTTCAAACAGATCACTAATAGTTGAGACTATTCCAGTTCATTTTCCTTTTTAATATACATCGTCAGGAATCAGATTTTTGTATACAGTAAATACGTATGCCAGCAGATCATATTGGTATAATTCGATACATCTAAGTCTGCTTTTATGTCACATGCCATATGCTTCTCGTTAAAATGATTAACTCCAATGAAGGAACTAATCATTTGCTTAGCAAATCATCACAAAAAATAAATTAATCATTTTTATATATACATTTAGTTCAAAACATCGAGTGATTATTTTCACACTTTTTCTTTCGGAATATTCCACTGATACAATGTTTTCAATCCAATCTCATAGTTGCAAACATAACTTTGAAGAAGTGGCCAGTGGGATACTCCAATGGCCAATTTAATTTTTCTCCCACTTCTTCAAAGTTATGTTCCCTTTATTCTCTTTCTTTTTCGGTAAGTTTTTCCCTTCCCATCCGATAAGAATGGAAGGCCTAACATTTCTATTTTGATTTGAAAACTGTCTTAAATTGATTAATGAGAAAAGATCTAAAAACACTCTTTTATTGACCTCAATCCATCATCTAAACACTGATGCTAAAAAAGTGTTGTATAAAAAATAAAAATATTACGAGTTTGTGACCTTGTAAGTTTTAGAAAAAATCAAACATTGATAAGATTGGGGGGAATGTTCATGAAATTTCAGAAAAGTCGAAATAAGGGAAAATTCACAAATAATAATTAAAAAGTCAAAATCTATAAATTATTAAGCACAATATCGTTAAAATTCCGGGGGGGGGGGGGGGGGGGGGGAATGGATGTAAAACTTTTAAAACGTAAGTTTGACAAATGATTTGAAAACGGTACAAAATTACTAAATATTTGAACATGAAAACCGTACCTTTTAATGTTTTCTAAATAAAGTTTATTGTAAACAAATAAACAATGCTTCAATTTTTGATTTTCTAAATATTGGTTTTTAAGAGAATCGAAATATGAATATCGTTATGGCATCAATATCATTGATCAATTCATGTTTGTGGATCCCAAATTCTTTTGGGATTAAGGCATGGATGTTGATGTTGTGGTTTTTAAGATTTAAATGTATTTATAGATTTTGACATTATTTACAATCCTTTTACATTCTTTTCTACGCTTTTGAATTTTATGTCTTCTTACGAATTTTATGAATTTCCTAAAAACGTTTAAAAATGACAGGAACCTAGGCAATACTAGTACTAGTGATAAGCAGGGACGTAGCCAGGATATGATTGAGGGGGGGTGAAATTAAAAAAATAATAACATATAAAATAAAAATGCACTAAATTAAACATTAAATAGTGTACTAGTTTTCATTTAAAACATCCAAAAATACATGATTAAACGGTATGGAAATTAAAATTTAGAACGTCGCTCGTGCATGTCACGAAAATCGTCGATAAGAGAGTCCACATTGAATTCTCAATATACACTACCAAACAATCGGTAAGATACGCATCTCCCATCTTGTGACTTTTGTGTCTTGTACAATCTAAAATAATGTTTGTGTAATTAAAATTTTCTTAAATACATATTTATCTCTAAACTAAGACACAATATATCCTAGCACCTTCTTAGATAATTACGATTTTCATAAATCTTAAATACACATTTCTCTCTAAACTAAGACAATATATCCTAGCGCATAATTAAATAATTAAAATTTCCTTAAATACACATTTATAAATATTATTTCCTTAGTTATGTATTCATAATTCATTCATTTTTGAATTAATTATTAAAGCAATAACACAAACCTAAGTTTTATAACAGTATTAACAACAAAGAATCTCATATCTAATAGATGAAAAAGTCAAAATGCTTAAATTACTTCGACTTTTAATAATTAGTAAAGTTTAATATTTTACCATAATAGATGAAAAGTGTGAAAAAGTCTAAATTATTTTGCCTTTTGCTCACTTGCTCGGTGCCTCGGTAGATGGAAGAACCTCTCAGCAGAGGCTGCAGAGCAGCTCACGTGTCAGGTCCCTCAGCGGACAGCAGCTCACCGTTCACGCCTTAGAGTCTCAATTCTCAAACCTATTTTTCTATTAACATTTGGACTAGAGTATAAGAGTGTTGGACTATAAACTAAAAGGATCTAATTGGGCTTTAGCCAATTAGGCCCAGCCGTAAGTAGCCTTCCGTTTTTTTTTAAGAATCAAAGAGTGTTGAGCACTTGAGGTACTAATATACTAGTCCAAGATTAAATGTTTGGGAGGGACCAAAAAATAATTACCAATACTACTAGGTAAAAAAATGGGAGGGGGGAGGCAAGTGGCAACCAACGCCTTTCAGGAAATTGCCTTCTCGGTGGTTTGGACACTGTCGTGAATATGTGGGCGAACAGTTCAGAGGTGGAAGGCAGAGAAGGATCGTAAATCTTGGTTGCTATGGTTGTACCAGCTACTGATCAATCTCCTCATAGTGATTCTACTTTCTTAGGTAATCATTCTGTCTTTCTTTCCACTATTACATCTATTATATGGATTCTAGATACTGGAGCTTCTGATCACATGATTCATTATTTTACCTTATATACTTCTACACCCAAACCTATTTCTATTAAAGTTCAATTACCAACTGGATCCTTTATTACTGCTACTCATATAGGAGATGTTAGGATTAACAATAATCTTACTCTTCATAATGTTCTTTATGTTCTTAAATTTAATTTCAATCTTATATCTATTTCAAGTCTAGTATTACATGAAAAAAAATCTGTTCATTTCTCTTCTAATCATGCTACTTTGCAGGATCATCACACCAACACAATGATTGGTTATGTTGATCTCAAAAATGGCTTATATCTCTACAATTCTACTGATTCTTCTGCTCATAATAAATCTGTTGTTGTTAATCATGTTCATACTCAATGTTCTGACTCTAAATCTGATATTTGGCATTATAGATTAGGTCATCTTCCTTTTAATAAACTGAATGCTATTGTTGATTGTACTGTTTCTCACCATATAAATAAAGATACTGCCTATGACATAAGTCATTTTGCTAAGCAAAAAAAATTACCTTTTCCTAAAAGTGTTTCTTATGCTTCTAGTCCTTTTGAACTTGTTCATATGGATGTCTGAGGTCCCTTTAGAGGGCAATCTTATTCTGGTTTTCAATATCTCTTAACCATTGTTGATGATCATATTAGATGTACTTGAGTTTTTATGATGAAAAACAAGACTGAAATTAAATTTTACATGATGAATTTTTACAATCTAATTCTTACTCATTTTAATACAAAAATCAAAACTGTTGGAATAGATAATGGAACTGAATTTATTTTTCCATCTTTTTATTCTAATAATGGCATCATTCATCAATTGTCTTGTGTTGAAACTCCTCAACAAAATGCAAGAGTTGAAAGAAAACATCAACATCTTCTTCAAATTGCTAGAGCTCTTTTATTTCAATCTTGTTTGCCTCTTATGTTTTGGTCTGATTGTATACTCACTGTTGTTCACATAATTAATAGACTTCCTACTCCTGTTTTAAATAACAAATCTCCTTATGAACTTTTATATGGTAAGGCTCCTGATTATTCTCATTTAAGAGTTTTTTGGTTCCTTGGTTTATGCTTCTACACTTGATGCCAATAGATCAAAATTTGATACTAGAGCTGTCAAATGTGTTTTTGTTGGGTATCCTTTAGGATCTAAGAGATACAAACTTTATGATATTGCTAATCATAAATTTTTTATCTCTAGAAATGTGAAGTTTTATGAAATGATTTTTCCATATAGAAAGTATTCTGATTCTTCTAATCCTAATGATATTCCACCTGATTCTGATTCTTTACATTCTATTGATAATGATTTTTTTTATAATTATAAACCAACTTCTAATAATACTTCTTATGAATCAGACAATTTTTCTACTGATTATTTACAAAATCAGATCAATGATGAATTTAATTTAATGAATTCACAAAATTCCACTCTCAATAGTGATTCCAGTATATTACAGAATTCTAATGTCCCAGATGATAAAACACAAAGGAAATCAACACGGGTAAGGTCTCTGCGTAATCATTTACAAGACTACAGTTATGAATTACCTAATTCCATAACTGCAGGTATTTCTAATCCTCCTTCATCTTCCTGCAATTTTGTGAGATGCCTCATTACAAATTATATTACATATACCAGATTAAATAGTTCTCATTCTTGTTTTATTGTTGCTTTGTCACATATCAAAGAACCTAAAACTTTTAAACAAGTTGCAAAGCTTCCAGAATGGCAAACTGCTATGTCTACTGAACTTCAAGCTCTTGAGAAAAACAATACTTGGCACTTAGTTAATCCACCTTCTAATCAGAACATCATTGGATGTAAATGGGTTTTCAAAACAAAATTAAAACCTGATGGTTCTTTAGATAAATATAAAGCTAGATTAGTTGCTAAATGTTATACTCAAGAAGAAGGTTTTCATTATTTTGATACTTTTTCTCATGTTGTTAAACTAACAACTGTTAGGATTATTTTAGCTATTGCTAGTGCTAAGAACTGGTTTTTACATCAACTTGATGTAAATAATGTTTTTTTACATGGTGATCTAAATGAAGATATTTACATGCGGCCACCTCCAGGTTACTTGTCTCCAAATGATACAAGGGTTTGTAAGCTTACCAAAAGTCTGTATGGTCTTAAACAAGCATCTAGACAATGGTTTTGTAAGCTCTCTGATTCGCATAAACTATTTGGATATAAACAATCTAAGGCTGATTTTTCCTTATTTACTAAAACTACTAAATCTTCTTTCACTATTATTTTAGTTTATGTAGATGATCTTATTCTTGCTGGAATTAGCATGGAAGAGATTACTGCAGTAAAAGTTTTTCTGAATAATAAGTTCACTATTAAGGATCTTGGAGAATTAAAATATATTTTAGGAATAGAAATTGCCAGATCTGATAAATGTATTAATTTGTGTCAAAGAAAATACACTCTTGATATCTTAAATGAATATGGTTATCAAAACTGTAAGCCTTATACTACTCCCATGGATTGTAAAATTAAATTTTCCAAAAATGAGGGTGTTCCATTAGATAATCCTAAAACATATTGATGGAGTATATGGGTCTGAGCTCCAGGACCCACATACTCGGAGGAACAGAGCACAAGACAACAGAGTGGCGCCCTCGTCGGCCAAGACGCCCCCGTCGGCCGAAAAGGGGCCAACTCAGATTACGGTCCTGAGTCCAAGGAACCCGGGTGCCCTCGTCGGCCGCGCCCTCGTCGGCCGTGCCCTCGTCGGCCACAAAGACCTCCCAGAAACGGATTCTATACTTACTCATTTGTACAGCCCATTAGAGGCTTTGTATTCGGCCCAGTAGCGGTCCAGTTGTAAATGGGCCTCCCAAGCCCAAGGCTTGGGAGCCCAACCCTAATTTTCTCTATAAATACTCCCCTTGGGAGTAGTTATAGGGGGGACGAATTCATTCTATTGAAGCATATTATTGCACTTCCCTCTCTAGCTCTCACTTCTCTGTAGATATACTCTATCATTTGGTGCTCTCGTTGAGAGCTAGAACAATCAAGTTAGCACCCTTCGTCGCTACCAAGCACAGCTAACCACTGATCATGGGGAGAACTAAGTCAAACCGCAACCTCGTCAGCAAAGTCATCCCTGAGGACCAAGAGCCCAGGGAGCACGATGAGGAAGCCACGGCCGACCAGGTCGGCGGAGGGGACCTCTTCCAGGAGGCCTTCAACCTCACGACGGACCTCCGCAACCAACTCAATGGCGGAGTCCCCGACGCCCGCCTCGGCCTGGAAAAGAAACGAGCTGAGAAAGCGGACCACGCCCCGGCCCAGCCTATGGCCGCGGCCTCTCCGTCCGTAGATCCTCAGGTCCAGGCCGCCCTATCGGTCATCATCGCCAGCTTGGCTCAGAATCCCACCGTCCTCAGCGCACTCTTGCCAAGGACCGGGGGAAACGTCACTCCACCTCCTCATCCCCAACCATTGGCCGTCCAGATAGGCAACAATGAGGGGATTGTGGCCCAGGACACGGCGTCGTCCCACTCCCACCCTGCTTCTCCTCTTCGGCCCGGGCAGACCCTAGCGCGTGGAAAAGCCTCTGCCTTCAATAGGCTAGGTGACACGCGACGTCGTCCGGTTTCGGAGAGGATGGCGGGACGGATTGGTGATCCTCGTCCTGGCTCGCCGAGGGAGAGTTTGGGGTCTGTGTCCCGGACAGCAGACCAGCCCCGCCCGGACAAGGGCAATGGGAAGTTGCACGAGGATGACGTGCGTCACCAGATCAACGCGGCTCACAACGAGCGCCTGAGGAACCAGCCGGGTGCCGCCGCGGCCGACAGAGACCCCCGGGACGAGGTCATTGCCCAGCTGGAAAGGAGGTTGGCTCAGATGGAGGCCAAGCAGTCGGCCAACATCCCTACGGCCGGCGCCTCCAACGACCCCGGCCTCAACGCGCTCATGAACAAAGTCAGCGCCCTGGAGAGGGAACTGGCCGAAGGGCGAGGTGACCCCATCATCCAGGTCAGGACTAGGACCCCTTTCACCAACAGGGTCCTCTCGGCCCCCATCCCTGAGAAGTACAGGGGGAACGCCATCAAGTCCTACGATGGCCGATCAGACCCCCAGGAGCACTTCAGCCGTTATCAAAACAACATGCTAATGGTGAACGCGTCCGACGAATACCTCTGTCGTTGGTTCCTCTCTACTCTCGAGGGGCCAGCGTACGAGTGGTTCAACGGGCTGCCAGAAGGAAGCATCGACTCATGGCAGGATCTCGCCAAGCGCTTCCTCACTCACTTTGCCGGGAGGAAGCGCGCGAAGAAGTATTTCACCCACCTCCTCTCCGTCAAACAGCAGCACGAGGAGTCCCTCCGGTCATTCATCGACCGGTGGACGAGGGAGACCGAGGAGGTCGAGGGGGCCGATGAGCGCACCCTCCTCGCCTTGTACCAGGGAGCCCTCCGCAGCTCCCCGTACGCCAGGAGTCTCATCACCGACCCCCCGAGGTCGTACGCCAAGGTGCTCCAGCGCGGAGGCTTGTATGCCGACGCAGACGAGCTCCACAATCACAAAAGAGAAGGGGGCCATCCCCCCAAGAAGACAAATCCTTCGTCGGCCCCGGGTCCGTCCCCGGCCTGCCAGGGTGCCCAGGGCCGCCACGGCTCTGGCGGACAAAGTAAGAAAGACCGCCACTGGTGGCCGAGGCTGGAACGGCCGGGGGTAGCCCTCACCCACCCGGTCGGCACCATCCTCGATTATGCCGAGAAGCATGGCCTCATCGAGCAGGCTCCTCGGCCGGCCGAGGAGATCCTGGCCATCCAGCAGGGCGACACGTACTGCCGGTTTCACAAGAACTCGTCGCACAACACCGACGATTGCATCACGTTGAAGAAGGCCATCGAGCGTCTTATTCGCCAGGGGGAACTCTCCCAGTTTGTCAAAGGTGGCCCACGTAAAAACACTTGGGTAAACACCGGCAAACGTGGGGGCGAACCCTCTGCGAAGAAGCGCGAGATTGGTAGGCTCAGCGACGACGAGGACTTCGAGGAGCCTCCGCCGAAGAAGAATCACATCCACCTCATCGTAGGCGGGAACACTGGGGGGGACTCCGCC